ATGTATTAGAAATTTATAGAAAGAATCTTACATATATAATTCAATTTGTCTATATAATAATTTATAATTCAATTCAATCAACATAATCTTAAGAATAAAGTGTTATTTTTGTTAGACCTTGTGTTGGGGGTCTGCTACAAAATATGAACAAGAAGAAGATGAACACGGTACGATGAAAGTTGCACAAAATAAATTCCAAAGTGTGTGTTTACACTAAGCTTTTTAAGCAAATTGGATGCAAATGGTTTATTCGGCGAATCTCCTTCAAGATACTTTGGAAATACTTTGGAAACCCAGGTTCAATTCTGCCAATTGGAACTTATGGCAATATATTTTGTCAATTTAACAAGTAAATCTAAAAATTACTCAAATCAAGATTCAAACTTGTCACCTTTGAGTCAATAACAAAAGTAGTAACCACTACACCACATAAGCATTTATGATCATAGAGATTCATGAAATCAATTTAATCAATATTATTTATCAATTAAATATTTTGAAAATCTCACCAATAATCCTCCACCATTTTTAAAATATATCTAAATTCATGATTCAGAAAATTTCATGGTTTCAGATAAATGTATCTTACAATTTGAACTATTACTTAGTAATTTAAGTTTCCACTCATCCCCAAATAGATTGGTAGACAAGCTTTGAACTAATTATTCATTAGAACAAGTATTCATAACTCATACATGAAATCTCGGTACCATTGATCGAATTATCAATATGATACATTTAGTAAGGCTTTGTGTCTCATATCCTTTTCATGAGAATTTAAGATTCAAGCCCTTTAACTCTTTGAAGCGGCACCATTTCATTCCCATATAGGTAGACTATATCATAAATGCATCCATAGTTATGCATTCCAACAAACATATGATATACGTCTATTAAGAGAAAACTTCATCCTACCATATTTATTCTTATGGTCAAAGTACTTTTACTCTTTTGAGATGTATCTATTGTCAAACACTTCAACACTTTAATAGTGTACTTTCATCATTGAACTCAAAACTTAACATTAATCAAGTGTGAGTTGAGTTTCCACTATTGATGATTAATTAGATACGGGCTTGCTTCACATCTCTAATGATGTCTTCCTTATATTCAATTATATTCAAAGACATCATATCTTTGTCAATTCTTTCGTCAAAGAATCACATGATTTTTTTTTCAAACTTTAATAAACTTTGAATATTTAATCTTTCAAATAGTTATGTCTATGATTACTTTATATATTCTTGGTAGTATTTACCAACTATGATCAAATCATAACACTTTTGTCATATTACTACATTTATCATATGGAAAATATATTATATATTCTTGATAGTTTCGACAAACTATCACTATGACACTTTTGTCATTCATTTTATCATATACACAAATTGTATGTCGTTCTTTATTTGTTAACCTTTTTAATTTAAAGTTTTACTTCCACTTAAATATATCCGAAATATATTTAATGCATTTAACATTTATAGAAATCGACAATCATGATCATACAAATTTGTCATGACTGACTTTTATTTCATGAAGTGGATTCAAACATGTAATTCATAAACTCCATATAAATTCAACACAATAGAATATATTTCTATTCTTTCAAAATAAATAATTTTCTTGTATAACTAAGATATGCATAACAAATTATATGTGTTGAATTCATGTTTCATATTTAGCAATGTTCTATGGTATATTCAAATAAAAATCACAATATAAAATAAATTATGAATTTATATCATTAACATTTTCTATAGCTTTTCTCCATAAATATTTGTCACTTTACAGTAATCTAAAATATACCACAATTACTTTTGATATCAAGATGAACAAGAAATAATATTTACATATTATGATACACATATAATACGAGATAAATTATTTTAAATATAATAAATTCTTGCATAAATAAAATATACAATTGAAATGTATCATAGATATTGTTACCATTTTATTTACACCATTTTATGTTACCAATACATGCATCATATATTCATATTCATGATTTTGTTTTTTACCAAATTATTTTATCTAGAAATAATGAATTATTAATTAGAATAAATTATTTGAACTAAAGAATAATATTTAACATGTATTTTACATTCAAGTATACACCATAAACCAAATATGTTATTAATTATCCAAATTCACATACTTGAATAATTTATACATCATGCATATATAAATTTAATATAATTATGTACCTTTCATCATGATTATAAATCAGGAAGCATGTAAGTTTATTTCTCCATCAAAGTTGTAGTCACAAATTAACCACAAAAAATCATAAATCAAAATTTCATAATTTAAAAATTATATGAATTAATTGTGTACCTTTTATCATTGTTGAAAGTTGGTATCATTATCTCTAAAATTGTATACTTTAATATTAAGTTTAATTGTAACTTTGGTCCCTCTATTTTGTATTTTTTTTTCCGATTTTGATCTCCCCATTTTAAAAACCACAATTTTGGTCTCCCTTTTGAGTTTTCTGTTAAAAAATGAGTAAAAATAGGGACTAAAATTGTAGAAAAAAGCAAAATAAGGAGACGTAAATTGCAGAAAACTTAAAAAAAGGAATTAAAATAATGATTTTTAAAATGGGGGGACCAAAATCGGAAAAAAAAAATACAAAATAGAGGAACCAAAGTTGCAATTAAGCCTTAATATTAATTATAAATAAAGTATGGACCAAAATTGAAAATCGAACCTAAAGATTGTTAGACCTTATGTTGGGGGTATGTTGCAAAATATGAACGAGAAGAAGATAAAAATGGTAAGATGAAAGTTTCACAAAATAAATTTCAAAGTGTGTGTTTACACTAAGCTTTAGGTTCGATTCGCTTCCACCAATTTAGACAAATTGGATGCAAATGGGTTATCCGGCGAATCCCTTTCAGGATACTTTAGAAACCTTAACATGAATCTCACATTCACATTAAGTATATTGATCAATGATATTTTACCGAATAACGTTCATTCACTTATTCATATGCACTAGAAAAATAAAAGAATAACTAAGATATAATATTTGACACTTGAAATATACTATTTTTTTCCCGTATATTCTTTATACCTAACAAGTATATCTATTTATATAAAAATTTGTACTAATTAGTGAGGAGAAACATTCATTGTTTCAATGATTTTTAAGATAATCATTCGGGAATGGTTATATACTTGTAACGTTCATCAATGTTAACAAACAATGCATTGATTCAGTGGCAGCTCTTCTTGTCCACTTGGTGTTACCTAAGGAGACCCTGGTTTGATCCTGCCACGCACAACTTATAGCATATATTTTGTCAATTAACAAGTAAATCCAAAGATTGCTCAAATCAAGATTCAAACTTGTCACATGTGAGTCAATATCAAAGGCATTAGCCTTTACACCACATAAGCATTATGATTTTAGAGATTCATGAAATCAATTTAATCAGCATTATTTATCAATTAAATATTTTGAAAATCTCACCAACAGTTTTAATAGTTAAAGTTGTTATAATTTTAAGTAAAAAATAATTTTTTTATACAAAAAGCCCGCGGGTAAAACTCGCGGGCAAAACCCGTCCCGTCTCGACCCCTTTTTAAAATGGGTTAGGTGAGACAGACTAACTTAAAGTACCGAGACAATAACATTAACCTAACCCGCCAAAAATAGTAGGTTAAATGGGCCGGCCTAATGGATCCAAACCGTTTTGTCAGCCCTAGGTGTATGACATTTGAGAACCTTAGTTGATAAACGATTGATTAGATAAGTAGCCGTTAACACAAAATCACCCCAAAAATTTAAAGGTTAATTAGATTTAAAATGCAAATCACGTGCAACGTTTAATAAATGTCTACGCTTATGCTCAATAACTCAATTTTGTTGTGGACTGTAAGCACAACTTGATTGTTGCAATAGTTCCAAGTCTTTGAAAAAAACATTTGTGTGAGAGTTGAAAAATTCACGTGCATTGTTAGATCAAATTCTTTTAATATGCGTATGATATTGCTTTTCAATCATTTAAAAAAAAATTGAGGAATTAGTGTGTTAACTTCACTTTTGTGATGCATGAGAAAAACCCACGTGCTTCTTGAAATGTCATCAACCACAATAAGAATTTTTTTTTGCACCGGAAGAGTGAGATTTATTATAAGGTCCCCAAACATCAAAATGTACTAAATCAAAACATGTAATAGTAGAAATGCTACTTAATGAAAATTGTAAACAATTTTGTGTTGCCAAAGGACAAACATTGCATGAACATTTATTTGAAAACTTAATGCTAGAATCAAGATTATTGAATTTGGAAGATAGGGTGGGGGCTGGATGTCCTAAACTCCAATTCCACAAATCAAAATAATAATCACCATCAATAAATCCAAGTTAAATTTTGGCTTATAGTGCCATGGTGATTGCACGACTCTATGTGGTATAATTATCACCATCAAGGAGTTGTGTAACTAGTAATTGTCCAGGTTGATCAGATGAGTGAAGAAAATATGGGGAGGCTTGATTTGGAATATTGATGGCAGCCTTGGATGATTAAACAATAGAGGAACGGTGGCAGGTTGATACCATGTAAAGAAGGGGTTTGGATTTAAATGTATATTCATATATTTTTTGTAGAAACAGTACAAAGGATATGCTAATTATACTTACATAACAAACATGAAACGTGACTACAAATGTAAAATAATCAAAGGAAATTAATTACAATAAAATTATATTTTAATGAAAATAAATTATATTAATAACAAAATCAATGCCATCTTGATTTGAATGGAAACCTTACAGCTATGCATGATATGTTGTGATAACATAGACAATCAATAAAACTAACAATCCTAATATAGTCTAAAAAAGCAATAGTCATATCATTACTTCACACTAAGGCTGGACAGAAATAAAGAAACCGGTCCAATCCGACCTACCCAAGCGGCCCGGTAGTAAGCGGTTCGGGTTAAATCGGTTATCGGATAATCGGTTTTGCAAGAAATGGATACATATGGATTGTACCGGTCGGTTTCGGATAAGTTGTTTCGGTCCATCGAAATCCAAAACCGACCGCCTATTACTGATTTTCTATTTCATTTCAGTTTCACAGTCTCTCACTCTCTCTAATCTCTGCTGCTAGGGTTTCACCACGCTGTCTTCTACCACCGTCGTCATTTACGATTCTCAAGCACCACCATGCCACCATGCCGGCCACCACGAACCACCAACGATCAAGTAAGTTATTTTTCGTTCTCTTTCTCCTTCTCTCTCTTTATCTCTTTCTCCTTCTCCCTCTTTCTCTCTTTCTCTATCTACCTCTCTCTGTGTGTCTCTAACTTAGCAGAACACAAACCGACCGATCCAGGTTTTAACCCCTGTTTCAATGGCTTCTCCTTCTCCCTGTATCAGGTTTTAACCCTATAGAAAGTAGAACACAAACCGATCGATCCACCCCTGTTTTAACCCTAGTGCAGCAGCTTCAATGGCTTTTTGCTTATTCTCAAACTCATGTAAGTTAATTAATTATACCTTAGAAAGGGTACTTGGAACAAAGACTGTGTTCTTAATAAACTGTGATGTAACTGTTGAAAATTTGCTTTTATTATGTTTTTTTCTTAATAAAAGGAAGTCACATGTTTGTTTTAACACTACGACCAGTGTCGCAACACTTGGATCGACCGTGACGTGACTGTGACCGATTTTAGAACCCTGAGTATCGCTTAAATGTTACAATATTTTGTTGTGTTTTTAACATTAGGTGGAAAAGGAAAGAAAGAGAGCACAAGATGATGATATTGCAGCCACATCTTATGTGAAGGGACAATACTCTATTCCGAATTGTATTGATGTCTTGATAATTGTAAACCAGAAAAAACAGGGTCGGGGTGATTGGAGCGATGATATATTTAGCTATGCTTTAGAATTGATTAAAGATAGCAAAAATAGAGTCATTGTTATCTATTTAAAAAATCGGTTAAATGATTTGGCCAATTGGATAAACCACAAGTATGACAGTAGAAACCGCTAGAATTTGTTTTCAGATTTTACTATGTGAAACATCCTATTGTAATAAATCTGTTGTTGTAATTTGTGATTTTGTTTGTTTATCCTTGCAATTTGTTCTATCAATGGCTTTTAGTCAAACTATAATGAACATTCAATCTTATCTGATGGAACAACAACATTAATTACATATGTCTATTCACATGAAATGCAGTTTGAAGCAAAGTATTATATTTCTTTACTCTAATCATGAAACTGGTTGCTAGAAATTTTAATATTTGTTAGAAGTATGTCGGCTAGATTCTCTATTAGAAACAAAGGTGAAAGACAAAGAGTTGTATCAGTTACATTAGAAATGCTAATTGAATCTGTTAGTTAGGAATTAAGTAACTCACATGGAAGCATTCCAAGTTCTAAAGGTAGTCGTGGGAGCAGTCATGGTAAAGGCCAATATACCATAAGTTAAGGCTGGAGCAGTCATGGTAATTGAGGAATGAAGTGTTCTATCATTTTATTACAATTTTCATGTATATATCTTCTGATTTTAGGACCTTAGAATGTTTATAGTTTCAGATTAGAAAAATTAAAAAGTAGGATTGTTAACAAGTTCTGCACTACAAATCAAAGTAAGTATTACTTTGTGCTTATTAAACAAGTCGAGTTGAGAAGAAGATAGAAATTTGACAAGTAACTATTAGATTGTTTATGACATGTATATTTTCATAATTTATACTTTATGCTTGTGTTTTACTCTACCTTAATATTTCACAGTATAAACCAAAAGAATTCCTTCAATGCTACTTGATGCTATATATTGTTGTAGGTTAAAATACTATTAGACTGTAATGCTCTTATTTCTCTTGGTGGCATAAGAATGTAATACTAACAACATACTTGCTATTCATTGAGTGAAACGTGAAATTGATAATACTTTTCTTATCATGTTTAAATTTTGGATTTCACTAGTTTTTGTATCTATCTAGTTTTAATTTATATTAGATTAAACTTGCACACTATTTATATTATATTAGTTTTTGTATCTATCTAGTTTATTTATATGTGGAATTCATGTCACCTAATGACAGTCAATCATGCATTGGCTGCATTTTCAACTGGTTTTGTGAAGTTTGTCAACAATGCATGTGTTTGTCGGTTTTATATTTTATTTTTGAGGCATGTGTCTGTTAGTATAGGGTGGTAATTACATGACTATAAATACAAAGTCTTTCCCATACACATTTAATATCAGTGAAATATTTGGCTATGTTTGGATATGATCATTTTTATTTTTACATTATAATGTATTAAAGGTATAGAAAAGATTTTACATGTTAAATGTCGATTGGATTACATCATTTTTTATTTAACTTTTTTCACATATTAGGCATGTTGCTTGAGTATGGTAGCCATTTTCTCCCTTTGAGAAAATACAGTAGTTGCATTGATCTATGTAGTATTCTGATGCATGGTCTTGTCTTGCAGGTATTGTCAACCTTTAGTGTATGTTAAGTATCCTGATGCATGGTCTTGTCTTGCAGTTGCAGGTATTGTCTTGTCTTACATGAGCTTTATTGCTTTGAGTTTAATTCTCATTTATTACTCTCTTTTTGCATTTACTTGATGCCAAATCAGTGCAACAAGAAGTCAAGAATATTAAGACCTCTTGTCCTTGTGAATTTTCTTCTATTGGTATATACATAATACATGAACTTGTTTCAACAAAGTAATATATGTCTATTATTTCTCTTCATCAGGTAGGACTAGTTCACAACATAGAAACCAATGTTTTGAAGAGCATGATGATGGATGTGTTGATGAAATGAATGAGCATTCATGTTCAAAGCTCATGAGAGAAGAATCTGATTCCTTCCTTGGCAACAGTAATATCTTCTCTAAAAGGTAACTTTACTTTACCCTTGAAATATTATTTCAAACTTTTCACACACAAAATATAATAAAGTTAATGTATAAAAGTGGGAGAGAATTCATTTCACTTTGATTCCTCCTTGTTTTAATTTTGTTTGTGAAATGTATGGTTCCAATCATTATAGAATAGAAATTTCAATTTATTTTGCTGTCTATTTTTCTTTCTCTTTCTTGTTCTTCTAGAGGAACACTTCATGCTTATGGTGTTTAACTGGTAAGATTAGATTCTGATACATGTATCTGCTATCCTATTTAACTATTCATTACTGCAAATTGTCATAATTTATATGTAAAAGTTACATAAATTTGTTGCAGTTACTTGCTATAGTCGTCTATCTAATGTTCAATTGTGATAATCCTGGTTATGCTTTATTACATTTCTTCTTACCGTAAGTCATTCCTTACAGGTGGGTCGCAAACTCTCTGGATTTTAACAAGGATTATGACGCAATTGTTTTTGAGACAACCATAAGGTTACTTTATAAGGTTTACATTGCAGTTAAAGTCTTTTCCATTCCAAAAATTATAATAAGCTTATGTATTGACAACTGATTTTTTTTCTTTCTATTTGTTGGTCTATTTTCACCAAAATCCAGAGTAGTGGGTGGCCTTCTTAGTACATATGATCTATCAGGGGACAAAATTTTCCTTGACAAAGCTAGAGACATTGCAGATAGATTACTGCCTGCATGGAACACACCTTCAGGAATTCCTTATAATATCATCAACCTGTCACATGGACGCGCACACAATCCTGGATGGATCGGGGTAAGTTTCTACACATGCATTTCAATCTTACTCAACACGAAAAAGATTTAGGATATTGCTTTTATGGTCTATAGGGTTCGAGCATTTTGGCAGATTCAGGCACCGAACAGCTAGAGTTCATTGCTCCATCCTTGGAACAACAGCTCCCATTCTGGTATGCAAAAAATTTACTTGAAAGGTCATGCATAATTTTGTTTAGAAGCAAAAGCTTTGAAATATATTATTTCTAAAATAACACTTCTCTTCTCTTGCAGCTTACAGTGGAACACTTCTCTTCTCTTGCAGCTTATAGTGGAACACTTCTCTTCTCTTGCAGCTTACAGTGGGTGTTTAAGTGCTGGAAATATGATGGTGAACAAAAATTATAATTAGTGTTGGTTGTGTCATCATGTTGGCTTTTAATGTTAATTTATATATGAAGGATGAATGTAATTTAAGTATTCATAGTGTATTTTAAGCTTTCTTTTAATGTTGGCATCTACAAAAACTACCTTATAGACTTTATGTCCAAAATTGAATGTATTATTTTGATATAATATTTGATCATAGTTTATTTGGAATTTACAATTTGATCATAGTTTATTTGGAAGACAGTGTAAATTAGAATGTAAAATAGTGTTAAATTGGGTCATTTATTATTTTTATTATTGCTTTATATTTATTATTTAATATTCTTTTAATTAAAAAAATTAAGATATAATTGAATTTTTTATGACAATTTAATATTAATTAACCGAACAAACCGATCCATTTTAACCGATAAACCGATTAAACCGAATCCGATCAAACCGATTACAACTTTGGTCGGAATTGGGCCTAATATTTGAATCCATGGTTTTATATGGTTTGACATATTGGACCCAAATCCAGTCCAAACCGACCGATGTCCACCCCTGCTTCACACATACAAAGCGACACAGGCATGAGTCAAAGAACAAATCACGAGAGCATGGAAAGAACAATATGGAAACTCATAAACATTATTAGGCCTTCATTTTACACATGAGCTACAAGTTCGTGAGGGCTAGAGGTACCACCTCAGTATGATATCTCACTTAAAAAAAATTCCTAAATCATTTTTTAAGCTTTTTAAACCCATTATATATTCAAACAAATAATTGTATACGAGGATTCTGTAATGGTGATGCCTAAGAGGCCAAACCCAAATATGTCACATATTTTCCATCAAGAAAGGTCATCTTAAAAGGATAAAACATGTTGTTGTACCTTAAAATTTTTCCTCTCTTTCCTCAAAACATTTCACACAAGATCACCAATAGCTCAAGTTTGCACAAGTGTTGACTAGGTCAAACCATCTCATAAACACTGATGTCTCAAATTAGGATTTTGATTTTCACAAGGATAATTAGACTTCTGATGCCTCATATGAATTTCATGAATCGTTATAGACCTCCAAGAATACTCATGTCAAGTTTCAAGTCTTGAATCACTGTTTTGCTCAGTCAATTGCTCAGATGACTGAAAATCAATTGTATTGGGTAAAAAATCAATTGTGGTCAACCTACAGTCAAACTTCATGATTTTTGGTCAACATCAACATTTTAAAGTCCTATTAATCATTTGATCAAGTATTTATCACAATCCCTTAAGAAAAGCATTCAATTTACCAAAAGGGCAAAATGGTCAAAATTAGAATTTTGATTGTAATTGACTGATCAATGACTTTTGACCTAATACATGATCTAATGGCTTGAACCATAATCTCAAGAACTCAAATACAACATGTTAACCTAATTTCATGGTTCAAAATATTCCTCAAGATCAATGGATTGATAGTTGAAATTTGAACAACTGATGAAAAGTCAACTGATACACAAAAAGTCAAACTTTGACTTTTTGATCAAGATTTGATTTCAAAAATCACAATTCATCAAGGAATTCAGAAATATGAAGCTTGATCATCAAGAAATCAAGAAAGTCAAAAGTCAATTTGAAAATTCAAGCTTTTCAAGACTTAGAAATTTTTCTAAGTGTTTTAAACATGATAATTTCACTACTTCATGACATCTTTTTACCAAGATGCAAGATGATTCAAAGAAAACTTTCAACATGAAAGTTGTAGATCTTGATGAGATCTACAACTTTTCTTTACTGGCCAAGTCCTATAAGTGCTTGTATTTGGAGTTATAAATTCATGAAATCATGCATTTTTTCTAAAACACTTAGTGAAAATTTGATCTAGTTTAGGCAGATTTTTGACCTAACTTCTTGGCCAATTTTTACCAAGATACAAGATGATTTTGTCAAAATGGTCAATATGAAGGTTTTAGAGGAAGTTTCAAGCTTTCCAAAATGTCCAAGAACTTGAAG